AATGCTGTGGCTTACGCCTGCTTGAAATGTACAGCCCACAGACCTACAAACTCAAACACCTTGAAATTTTGAGATTAGGCCTGAACCCATGTAAGATGCATTCCCTGAAATGTTACTGTTTTGGAAATGTAATGTCTTCTGGCATCAGCAATGAAAGGGACTTTGACATCCTGCAAAATAGCTTTGCTTTAAATCTGCCTCATTAGATTTATACTGTGGGTTTAGGTTGACATGATTGAGCTGATGCTGGTTGTGAAGGAGGATGATGATTAGAGGTTTTGGGTGACATTGCTGAGCTACTGTTTGGAGGCTGATGTTAACCGCTCCTAATGAGCTAAACATTTTGTCCTCTAGCTTAACAGTGCAACGGGAAACTGAAATGCATGTTATTCTGAGCCATTTACTGTCACTGTAGTTGTGGTGTGTCTGGAGGGACTGGTGAATAGTGCAATGACATAATGGAAGGTTTGTTATCAGTTGGCTGCAACTGGTTTTTAAGGGAAGTTACAGGTGAAAAATTTCAATGAATCTAAAGCGTCATTGCTTCATGATCATTAACCAAAGATACAACCTAAACAATATTTCCAAAGGAGGTAGAGAAAGCTAGAAAATCTGATAAGTCTGATAAGTCTGATAAGACTGTGTGGTTGTTTAAACCACTCAGTGATTTACAGTTGCGTAGCCATGGCACCAGGCTATTTTCTTTTAAAGCTTTTATTTTCTGGCAGTAGTTAGGCTTTGAATCTGTCTGAGATTTAAGCAATAGAACATGAAAGGGAAGGTGTTATCGTGAAAAATGTCACGGCTCTGATTTTGAGGAAGACACCAGCCAAAGGTGAGTACTGTAGACCATTATGAATGAAACAGATTACCAGTTCTGCAAAATAAAGGAAAAAGTAAACATTGTATCAAATGTGCTCTAATATTTCTTCCACCAAAAGAAGTAGTAGCCTTTTGTGTTACGGATACAGCCATAACAATGTGGCAATGTCAGGTTCAGCTCATAGCTTCCAACATTTCAATATTTTCAGAACCTGTCTTGTTTTCTGAATAGTTTTCTGCTCATTTCTGGCTAATTGCAGTTTGTTTAGTTGTTTCTCTGACTGAAAAGCTTGGCAGTGGCAGTGACAGCTTCAGAATTTATTGTAGGCCTGCAGTCATGTTACTCTTGAAAATGTGACCAAACAGGCTACAGGTAAATATTATATTATATAAGTTATGCAATGTGTCCATTTTTCTGTTTTTGTATGTGCTAAAGTAGAAAGTTAGCAATGGCTACAGCAAAAAGTGAGTGGTTACTTAGCAACTGGAGCACAGCATATTGATAGTTATTGTAAAAAATCTGTGTTGTTATCATTAAATAAAATAAATAAATAAATGATTATGTCAGGGGAACTTACCATTATATAAATCAGAACTTGATCAATCATCCAAACACCATTAGCAACTGATACAGTATAAAACTGCAGCTAGGTGGCTATGATAGGCATCAACAAATCATTCAAACATTGTGAGCATTTTAGACTTTCCAGCAAATTATGCAGAAAGAAGTTCACAGCCGACTCTGCCCAGCAGCTCAGCCATCCAGCCACAGTAGATGTAAGGAATGAGGGGAGCAAAGCTCTGAGTTTCCCTTGTGTGAAACATTGGGGCTGATATTTCACAAAAGCAAGGTGTCTGAACGTGGGCTTTTTTCATGAAAGCTGTGCATTGCAGTGATTTTACCAAATCAAAATGGCCCAAGTAAAGAGATTTTGGTTATTGTGGGGCAGAGCTCTGGAAAGTAGCCCTAACAGTGTCCTCCAAAACGGTAACTTTAGAGAAGGTAAAACATCCTTTACTTTGAATGGAAGTTAATAGTTTTTTTTCCAAGCATGTTTGAAGCATTTCTGTTGTTCCGATTATCATAAAACTCATAAAAGGATATGGATATTAAGGGGACATCTTTTAATGCTGTGTTGTACTGAGTGCAGTACAGTTTCCTCTGCTTTGCCTCTGGCCACGTTATTAAAACCCTTCCCTTGTAGCTCCTTCTTGCTGGCGTACAGTTAGAGACTGTAGCCCATTTGTGCCATCCTACAGCCCAGTGGTGTCCAGTTTTATCCACAAAGGGCCAGTTTAGCTGCAGGGTGACACTCCAAACAAGCAGGAACAGATCTGATTCTACCTGTTTATTTAATTGGTCAGTCTTCAAACAACTGACAGCGTGTGCTCCTGGTTTGTTGGAAAGAAAACCTGCAGCCTCACTGGCCCTTTGAGGATAAGATTGGACACTCCTGCTCTAGCCCTTCGTCAGTGGTCAGTTTGTCACAGAGGCACTCTTGGCTGAATATTTTTTGGGGTTGGACAACTCTCAACCTAGCAGTGACACCGAATGATCCAACACTCAAATGATATCTGACAACAGTGGTCCTGTGCTCAGTAACTGACAAGTGATAAATGGAGAGTAATTGTACACCTACAACATAAATAGCCCTCACTGAATGCTAGTACAATGTATCTAATTTCTCCATATTTGAACAAACAGCCTCAAGGCTCGCCATAATTGGTCATGGCTGGTCAAGTTTTGGTGTTCAGTGTTGCTGGAGAAACAAATATATTTGACTGCGCCAACTAAAACCTTTATATAATAAGCTGTGATTTAGTGCACAGTCAGAACAGAGTTCTCTAGTCTGAGCCAGCTCACATGCAGAAGGATCTAAAACACCAAAGTTTACATCAGTACTGCCAAGAGCAAGTAAACTCGGCATGACGAATAGCGTTTGGTCTCAGATCTTCTTTGTTACTTTTTTTATAATCTGTGTATATTTCATCTTTCACTTTGATCTGGGGATTTGGTTTGTCCTATCAGTTGTGTATGAACACATATCAGCACTGCAGAGTAAAAGATATTAAAATACTACTCATCACTCCAACACTGTGTTTATGTGTGAGCAGTATGGTTTCAGTGCACAAATGACTTACTGTGAAAAACAGGCATTTTACATACATTCTCAAAGATGTTAATGGGGTTCCCCTCTTAAAGGTACACCTTCAATACCTGTTTATCAATAGTTAAGTGGAACAAAAAGAAAACTAAGCAGAAATCAATATTTTATTTACTTGAACTCAAGATACTAAGTAGAATTATCAGGTAAAGCAATTGGTATAAGAAAAAAAAAATCTCTGAAGGCATAATAACTTGATGTTTTAAGATATCGCTGTTGTTGTAAAAAAAAACCTTGTATCTCCAAAATGGTAACTTTACAGGAAAAGGAACAAACCTACTTTACTTTTAATGTAAGTCAATGGAACCAGAGTTTTTTCCAAGTCATTTTTGGTCATTTCTTTTGGTCCATTCTTCATGAAATTTACACACAATGTAAAGGACGACAGGCATTTTCAAATTATGCCAAAATCTGAAAAACATCAAAAATGGAAATACAATGTTTTCTTCCGACAGCAGCGATATGCTAACTTAAGTTTTCATTACATATTACTTAACTTTTTTAAGGCAACTGGTTTCTTCAATTTTTAAGTACATTCAACTAATCCGGGCTCACAGTGCATGGAGCATTATTGTACCTTGTACCACTGAAGTTACATCTTTTAAGTTGCACTGATCCCACACATCCTGTCTTAACACCAATCTTTTAAATTTATTTTCCTTAAAGCTTAAAAAGCTTTCCTCTGGGAGAAAATAATGCAGTGTACATTTAAACCCCATTTTAAAGGGGAATTCAACTGGCTTTTAAATATATGCGATGTTGATGATGATAAAATAGTAGTAAATCTGACAAAAAAATTTAAATAAATCCTTGGGTACCCTTTCATCTAAGAACGCTTGCATGTACTCTTCCGCCATAAATGTATTTAAAAATAAATAAACAAATAAATAAATAAATAAATAAATAACTTCCTACCTTTTTCGAAACTATTCCAAACAATGTGTCCAACACCAGGCAGCATATTCATAAACACTTAATGTAATAACTGCCTGTGCGGGAGCCTTTAGAAACATTAACCCTTCAGGTGTCTGGTTTCCATCATCACCACTGTGAACAGTTCTGTTCTACTTTCCCTAGAACAGAGCATTTCACATCAAACCACTCTGAATGACTTGGTTGTGTAAATTTTAAATTTGAAACTTTGAAAAATCGGTGGAGTACTCCTTTTTAGGTACACATTTGAACTCTAAAGATCATATTGTACCTTTGAGGGCACATTTACACTGTTTGTACAATGGAGAGACTAAAATTTACATGGACAGTTCCCTGTTTTCTGAAGTGTAGCTACGAACCTCTAAAATGATCATGACCTGCCGATGGGTCCAAACTTTTATCACACGCTTCTATAACTTCAGAGTAAGTCAGCTACTTTGCACTGTGGTATGTGTAGTTACTACATACTAACAAGACTCAGCGTCAGTGGTGTAATTCAGTTTTGCGTTATACGTTTCTTTTCCCCTTTTCCTTGGGTTGCCAGCTTTTATTAAACATCAATTAACTATTTCATTTTCTACTGTCTGCTATCAAACCATTTTGGTGGCTGCAGTAAATGTTGACCCTGTGACAGTGTAAAACTAGCCCAAAACTGGAAACCTGGCAACTCTGCAGCACATCCTATAGATCACCATGTAGAGCTAACAGATTGAAGAACAGACTGTTGTGAAAGAAAATAGGGGATGATCAAATAATACAGCAATGACAACAATAAAATATTGATAATAATAAAGGCATTTATGTTCATAGATTTGTGTGTGTGTGTGTGTGTGTGCATGCATGTAAATTAGGTTGTAAGTTGTAAAATAGGAAAAATAAATTTCTCTCATTTTTAAACTTTATTTTTAACTTTAAACTTGTGTCATAAGTTCATATATTTCAAAGCATCACTTCTCACAATATTTTGTTTTGTTTTGTGAAGCACTGTGTTGCATTTCATGTATAAAAAGCGCTCTCTCCCCTCCCTCTCTCTCTCCTTTGTACAATATCTCTCTCTCTCTCTCTCTCTCTCTCTCTCAGCTCTACTGGTATGGCTCTTCCTGCTCAGTACTACTCTCCTGATGAGGAAGATGAGCGGCCCTTCATCTGCTCGTTGCCTCAGGATAACGGGATCATGTCCTGCAACGATATTCCGGCGCGGAGAGAGGGAGGGCGGGACTGCTGTCTGGACGTGGAGGACGCTCTGCACCGGCAGGCCCTGGGCCTGGCTGCTGAACCCCTACTCAATGCCAGTGCCGGCGCCGTGCCGGGGCTCTGTGTCAACTGGAACCGCTACTACACCCGCTGCCGCACGGGTCACTCCAACCCGCACAAGGGCGCCATTAACTTTGACAACATTGGCTATGCCTGGATCGTGATATTTCAGGTGTGCAAGGGGGGGCTGCTTCAACCATAAACCCCACCACTTTAGGCCAAATGTTACAAGTTCTGAGACATTTTGCTTCACTGTTTTTTGTTGGAATGAGTTAATTTATACAGGCTTGGTAACGATAGTTTAACTGACACATTGCTTGCTGCTACAGAGTTCACCAGTTTAATGACATTACCTACTATACTAATTAGCTAGTATTAGCATATCTGTTGTAGATAAAAATATGTTGTTAGTAGGGTGGCAATATTTTAATATGTATTCATTTAGACATATAGTTAGCTAGATCACTGACTAAGCTTAAACATTGGCCAAAGTTAGCTTTATTAGCTATCTAAGCTAGCCCTATTAAAATATCAAGCTAGCACATGTTAGCTAGCTAGTTCGCTTTTTGAGATTCTTTTTGTTTTCACTTTTTATAGCTATGACGTGATTTTATTTTATTTTTAATTTAATCTATATTAGTATCTGCGATAGTCATGCAGAAATGTTAGTGTTAGTGTTCATGTAATATCAAGGCTAGTTAACCGTTTAAAAGACGTGAAAATATGAACACTAAAATAAAAAGGCGGCGAAAATCAGAAATAATTGTAATTATTCTTTTATATCTTATATGTAAATATATTATATTTTATTGGATAGTTTTTTTATGATGATTATTTGACTTCTAATAAACGACAAGGTGATTCAAAAAGATTCATCCAATTTCAAAATGATTTATTTCACTTGTTAATCATTACAGAACAATGCAGTGAACTGTAAATGGTTTAAGTGAGCATAAATTGAATTAAGTAATTTTAGAAGTGCTCAATATGAACCTCCTCCAGCTGTACGGACAACATCAACGCCATAGTCAAATTCATCCCATACTCGATTGAGCATGTCGGGTGTTACTGTACTCACGGCTCTTTCAATGAAATTTCGGAGATCATCCAGTGTTATGGAACCCATGACGAACACTCTGAGCTGTTGGAGGTTCACTGCCAACGAAAATCGTTTGACAGATTCACTCTTATTGAAGTGGAAAACGCAGAACGCTTTCAGCTCAGGGGTTGCCATCTCCCCGCAGACTGAATGGAGCCACCTTCCGGTGACAGTCAGAAACTTTATGACCCCCTCTTTCAATTGGTATGTGATTGGTTCCTAGGCGCCTGATGGTTGTAAAAATATGGCACTTTGAAATCGGATGAATCTTTTTGAATCACCCTGTATTTACCTTGAGTAAGAATTACTGGAAAATGTTAAAGGGGAGTTCCATTCATATTTCAAAATTTCTGCATAATTTAGTTGTTAAGATGTAAACAAACTCGTTTGATGTGAAATGACCTGTTCTAAAGAAACTTACAGAGTCAGAAGTGTTCACAGTGGTGGTGATAGGAACCAGCGTCTGACAATTTTAATGCCTTAAGCTATCTCACACAAAGCCATCATATGGAATAGTTATGAATACACTGCCTGATGCTTAAAACATTGTTTTATGACAGTTTTGAGAAGGTTTAGGCCTGAAGTGCATTTTTAAAATTAGTTTCCAGGTATTTACAGAGTTCAGCAAAATCAGAAGACAAGTGTAGGTTCACCATTGTTCTTGGATAGTAAATAAAATGGCTATATTAGTGTTGTAGACATCGCGACCCCTGTTTCCTATCACCACCACTTTGAAGGAGTAAGAATCCTAGACTACAATGATCTATTTCACATGAAACCACTCCGAATGACTTTATTAACATCGTGATTTACGGATATTTTCTGTTATATTTCTATGGAGTTTTGTGCCAAAATGTTTGAGAGAAGATCCTGATGTTTGAGAGAGGAATGTTCCGGTTTGAGAGGGCAGCGGTGCTCCGAGCGCGCAGCTAATGAACTTGAACGCACTTGTCAGCGCGAAGTGCAGCAGGTAAACACCTTCAGATTTGCTCAACAAAACACTCTGGTTTCATTCAAAACTTGAAAATCGCTCAATCATGCTCTTCACCTTCAAAACGTGCGCGCAAATCATTTCTGCTCTCAGCTCCATGGTGCGCGCTCAACTTTCACATCTGCTCCCTAACATTGGTAGCTCGGCCATTTGTTCCCTACCAGAGGCTTAACGGTAGCTAACTTCAAATAGCTTAACATTAATTAACTAAGCTGATGTTAGCAAGGTTTCTTTGACTGTAGCTAACAGTGTCTAACAGTGTTCTACTGAACTCTCCTATAGCGCTTGTCTTCATAGGCTCATCTTGTTAATCCTGTATATTTATCTTCTATAGTGGCATCATCAAAAAACAATACTGATACAGTGCAGTTTTACATGGACAAAAAAAACAAAAAAACAAAAACAAAAGGGAACAGGGAGTAATAAAGTTCATCCTATTTTGTTTACTAGACATAATACTGTACTTCTTTTCTAAGGCCCATACATGTTGTTATTTAGCACCCATCAACAGTAGGTTGGTTAGAAGCCAAACGTCAGTGTGTTTTGATAACCTAAACTTAGTGTCCAGGATATTAACTGCATTAACGCTGTGAAATGCTGACAACAGATGATAAGTCAGCCAATGAAGTCTTTTAACAGTGAGTTTCTGAATCATCCAGTTTTATATGTTTGCGTTTTAGAGTATAAGGCTTATTCAAAGGGAATGGTGGAAATCCAGAGATGGTAGCAAAGAGCTGAGAATGAGAAGAAATATCCCTTATATTTATAGTTTGTGTGCTCGATATTTTTAATCAATGATTTACAGTAACCGATGTGTGAACACCAAACAGAGGAAAAACATGTATGGCCCTTACAAAACAGTATTATGTCCAGTGAAAAAATAGGATGAACTATATAACTCCCTGTACTCACTGAAAAGTTTTTTTTTGTCCATATAAAACTGCACGGCATCAGTATTGTTTTTTGATGACGCCACTATAGAAGATAAATATACAGGATTAACAAGATGAGCCTATGAAGACAAGCACTATAGGAGAGTTCAGTAGAACACTGTTAGACACCGTTAGACACTGTTAGCTGCAGTCAAAGAAACCTTGCTAAGGTCAGCTTAGTTGATTAATGTTAAGCTATTTGAAGTCAGCTAACGTTAAGCCTCTGGTAGGAAACAAATGGCCGAGCTACCAATGATAGTTAGATTAATATGCTATTATTTATGACAGAGCATTATTGATAAATCATTTCTATCCATTTGCTACGAGAAAGCTAGAAACCATCTAGCTAACGTCGAGGCTACAAGCGCACTAGCCGACTCAATACCACAGCCACGAACGTGCCTTGACCAATTGGCATAAAGCTGCTTAAGAAAAGACGCCATGATTGGTGCGCTGACAGGAACCGCCCCTCGGCAGCTCTGATTGGCTGGAGTTTTGGCACAAACATTCAGACATTTTACAGCGAGCAGATGTGAAAGTTGAGCGCGCGCTGCGGAGCGGACAGCAGAAATGTTTTGCGCGCACGTGCGAGTTTTGAAGGTGAAGAGCATGACTGAGCAGGTTTTCCAGTTTTGAGTGAAAACCGGAGTGTTTTGCACGTGCGACTTCTGAGAGGGGAAAACATTGCTGTGCAGATTTTCAAGTTTTGAATGAAACCAGAGTGTTTTGTTGAGCAAATCCGAAGATGTTTACCTGCTGCACTTCGTGCTGACAAACGCGTTCAAGTTCATTAGCTGCGCGCTCAGAGCACCGCTGCCCTCTCAAACCGGAACATTCCTCTCTCAAACATCAGGATCTTCTCTCAAACATTTTGGCACAAAACTAACTCCATGTATTTCCTTCTGTATTGTTACAATTCAGACAATGTAGAATTGGGTCAGATGCCCCTGACGTTTCACTTCATGCAGGAGCTTTCTTAGTCTGTAGTCATGAATTATTGCCCTGTGGATGAAATTGACCTTCCTACACAGTTTAGTTTGTTCTTATTCAACTCATCTTTTGAATATTCAAGTATTCAAAGCGATCTTGATTAGCTGGCGAAGCATGCTCGTGGAATTAAGTTGTGTATAAAAGCATAAAATCATGTCCTCTTAAGTGACCAGCTGACGTTAAATGTTGTCCCGGTAATTGGAAATTATAAGACAAGTGCTGAATGAATGAATGAGCCTGATTTACGCAAAACATCAGGAGGTTCAGAATGAGCTTCCTGTTGGAACAGACATTGTGGGCTGTTCGAGGAGATGAATGAAGAGCAGTTGGACAATGCTGCGTAGAAAAAAAGATGTCAGACAGAAAACATAACAGATAATATAAATATATATGTGCATAAGTATGTCTGTCTGCTGGGCGTATAGCCTGACAGTCCCTCACAAGAGCGCTCCACAGGAAGGCTTCAATTTAGACACAGACACAGCCTACAATTTGAAGCTTTTTGCTCTGATCAAAGCTCTGGCGAGCAGTGAGCTCTGTGATGCTGAAAACAATGATTTTATTATGATTTCCACACTGAATAAAAGTGATGCTTTGGATTTACTTTATTCAACTGTCATTTGATTCCAATATGTACATCATTCCACATGAGTAAAATATATTACATCAACACAATCCTCTCTTACAGCTTATTTTTGGAAATATTTGTGTTGAATCAAGCAAATTTAGTGCTTTTCTTTTCTGTACTCTGCCTTTTTTTAATAATATGCATGTGCTTTTGTGTATGTGTCTAGGTCATAACTCTGGAAGGCTGGGTGGAGATCATGTACTACGTAATGGATGCTCACTCTTTCTACAACTTCATCTATTTCATCCTGCTTATTATAGTAAGTGAACACGGCTTTCACTCTTAAACCTATTTGACTGTCCTTTCAGGTTCCACATAGCAGCCAGATAGCTTATGTTGGATCACGTTATACTTTAGAATACAGTAAACACACATAATTGAATGCATTTAGGTTACCATGATTACTTAAACGAAATCCTTTAATCAATTTTAAAAATCATGAATAGAATTGTACCTTCTCTGTGAATTGGCATAGTGATTACTAATGTGAATGATGAATGATGAACATGATTCAATAAGTTATTATGAAGCCATGTTTATCAGTCTGAAGATTGTCCACAAGGGGGAGCAATTGGCACTCAAGTCACTCATCCCAGAAAAAGAAGAAACTCATACCAGCAATATATGAAAAAATCTCTTACAAGTTTAATGCATGTGGAATAAAAGGTTAAAGGGTAGCCGTTGTAAATTGCATGTATATAAAGTAAACAGGTATATAAAATAAACTGTTTTGTTTAACAAGGTCTTGGCTGAACAGCCTAGCAGATAGTTAAAAGGCTAACAGGCTCCTCCAGTAATATTCAGAGTTAGACTTCACTGATTCACTGTTTCAAATGCTTCAGATGTCTGTGTTTAAGTAAAGCAGGCCTTAGTAGTATTAAATCTTGTGTGGGAACTGAGAGTACACCACTGTTAGCTTAGCACTAAAATAACTTTGAAACTCTCATAGAAGTGCTGGCACCAATTAGTATCGTCATGGTGGTGGTATAAATTGAAAGTTTATGCTTTAAACTCTGCTATACAATAATCACTAAATGGCCAAAAGTTTGTGGATGCCTGACCATCATACCTATATGAGCTTATTGGTCATCCCATTCCAAAATCATGGGCATGAATGTGGAGTTGACCACACCCCCTCTTTATGGTTATAACAGCCTCCTCCTCTTCTGGCTTTCCACAAGATTTTGGAGTGTGTCTGGGGGAATTTGTGCCTGTTAAGTCAAAGGAGCTTTTGAGTCAGGCATTGATGTTGGACAAGAAGGCCTGGCTCATGATCGACATTCTTATTCATCCCAAAGGTGTGCAGTGAGGCTGAGGTCAGGCCACTGGAGTTCTTCTAAACCAAGCTTGTTTAAGGCACAGAGGCACAGTCATGCTGGAAGAAGAAAGGGCCTTTCCCAATCTGTTGTAACAGAGTTGGAAGCACATAAATGTCTAAAAGGTCTTTCTGTGCTGTAGCATCAACATTATCCTGGAACTAAGGGGCCCAAACCCTGAAAAACAGTCCCGGCCCATTATCCCTCCTCCACCAAACTTTACTGTTGGTACTGTGTATTCTGGTAGGCAGCATTCTCCTGTCATCTGTCAACCCAGATTCATCCATCAGACTGACAGACAGTAAAGCTTGATTCATCACACCGTAGAACATGTTTCCACTGCTCCAGAGTCCAGTGGCCATGCTTTATATTCCAGTCAACGCTTGGCATTGTGCAAAATGATGTTGTGCTTGTGTGCGGCTGCTCGGTCATTAAAACCTATTTCATGAACCTCCTAACTCAGTTATTGTGCTAATGTTGTTTCCAGAGGCAGTTTGGTGGTCTGTATTGAATGATGCAACAAAGGATAGGTGATTTTATGTGCTACATGCTTCAGCACTTGGTGGCTCCTGGTCTAGCACTTCATGGCTAAGTTGATGTTGTTCCTAGACACTTCCATTTCACATTCAATTTCCATTACAATATCACTTACAGTTGACCAGGGCAGATCTAACAGGGCAGAAAAATTCACAAACTGACTTGTGGAAAAGGTGGCATCCTACACCAGTGGCACATTTAAAGTCACTAAGCTTTTCATTACAACCCATTCTGCTGCCAGTGTTTGTCTATGGAGATTGCATGGCTATGTGCTTGATTTTAAATACCTGATAGCAATGCATATGGCTGAAACACCTAAACTCAGTAATTAGTTCAGGCCAGTTTTGTTGTTATTAAAAAAGATTATCAACATTCATAATCAATTAATAAAAATCAATTAATCAAAATGTGTGGATCTCCAACACTGGAGGTATTATTACTGCTTTCTTTACACATTTGATGCATTATTTTAAACAACATGAGACCCTTCACTTAAGGTTTAACAAGTTAAAACAGGTTTAACAAGTTAAAGATTTTCCCAGGAAAGCTACACAGGTTAATTCATATTTTTTTGAAAGGCACACAGTATTTAAGCAATAGAACACGAGAGGGAGTGTGTTGTCGTGAAATAACATCACGGCTGTGATTTGTGATGTTATTTACGATAACACAACCTCGAGTGTTCTATTGCTTTTATACAACAGCTAAATAAATACAGTCAGAAATAAATAAATTGGGTTGTGAATGTGGCGTTTATATGTTTTAATGTTAGCAGTTCCTTCTTCCAAATTATAGTTCCTTAACAAGCAGCTTGTTGCTACGTCAGAGTAATGAGCTCCGCTCACTCGCTGCACAGTCTGCTGAAGCCTTGCCTTCTGAAGTACGGACTGAGCCATAAAACTGCCGCAATATCAGGTTTAGCTCAGTATTGTCTTTTTTTGCTTGATCAGTATTAACGTTGTTTTGTTCCAGTCAGTCTGTAAAGCATCTTACAGCTTATTTTGTTTGGCGAATGGTATTCGGTTTATTTCTGGCTAATTTTAGGTTGTTCTTCTATCACAACTGCCGACTGAAAAGCTGCTCAGTGTTAATGACAGTTTGGAAATTTAGTGTAGTCTCATCATCAGAGTCTGACCAAATAATCCCGTGATGTTATGGCGAAATAACAGACGGTTAGAATGCTTCTCAACCAATCAGCTTGCATGGCCAGAACTAACTGTTGTATAAACAAGAATAAAGAATGTTCTGTGAGTCGCTTTCCAATATCCAACAAATAGCTCATATATTTGTCCTTAATTCTTCTCTTTTGGTGAAAACTGGGTGGTCCTAATCTTGTGTAGCATTGACAGGAACATTAGCCTTAACAGAACTTTGCTGATCTCTCTGCATTCGAGTGAGAAAAACTTACAGAGAGAAAGCTAACAACCAAGCAAAAACTAACCTAGCAAGCTTAACAGAGCTATCAAGCTAGCTCATCTGTCTGCCTGTCGTCTCCTTGTCCATTTGCTTGTCTGTTTGTTCGTCCATCTGACCTTTTGTTCATTCAATTCATCAATTCAGTTCAGTTTGATTCAATTCATTTACTGCTGTCTACATCACTAGCGGGCCTGTGTTAAGAGGCTGTGTCCCGGAGTCATGTTTTCTTTGGTGTTTACGCTGCTGGAAGCTTCTAGAAGCCTCTGTGCTCTTGAAAGAGAAGCCAGTACACTGGTGCTCCTGTCTCTGATTATAGACAGTGTCGTACCCTTTGCTGAGTATTTTTAAATTTAAATCCATCTTTCTGTTCCAATTTGCTGAGAGGTGAATATTAACATGGTTAAAAAATGCATTGCGGTCCACACATACACACGCGCTGAGAGAGAGACTGAGAGCCCTTGGAGTGTTATATTTGCCAGGGTAGAAGATTAGGTTGGATTTTGATGCCAGGGCATTTAAATCATGAGAGAAACTGGCAGAGTCCACCTAGCTAAGGCTTGCTTCCAACAGTGCTCTCTCTCTCTCCCTCTCTCTCTCTTTCTTTCTCTATCTCTCTATGTGAGTATATGTCTAAGTAAATGGGTTTATGGGGATGTCAAATTATATGTTATATGTACTACAATGTATACACCGATCAGACATAACATTAAGACCACCTCTGTGTTTCTACGCTCATTGTCCATTTTATCAGCTCCACTTACTATATAGGTGAACTTTGTAGTTCTACAGTTACAGACTGTAGTCCATCTGTTTCTCTGCATACTTTGTTAGAACCCTTTTACCCTGTTCTTCAGTGGTCAGGACCCCCATGGACCCTCACAGAGCAGGTACTATTTGGGTAGTGGATCATTCTCAGCACTGCAGTAACACTGATGTGGTGGTGGTGTGTTAGTGTGTGTTGTGCTGGTACGAGTGGATCAGACTCAGCAGTGCTGCTGGAGTTTTTAAACACTGTGTCCACGCACTGTCCATTAGACACTCCTACCTTGTCATTTCACCTTGTAGATGTAAAGTCAGAGACGATATCTTACCTGCTGCTGCACAGTTTGTATTGGTCATCCTCTAGTCCTTCATCAGTGGTCACAGGATGGTGCCCACAGGACGCTGTTGGCTGGATATTTTTGGATGGTCGACTATTCTCAGTCCAGCAGTGACACTGAGGTGTTTAAAAACTCCACTGATCCACTCAGACCAGTGCAACACACACTAACACACCACCACCACATCAGTGTTACTGCAGTGCTGAGAATGATCCACCACCCAAATAGTACCTGCTCTGTGAGGGTCCATGGGGTTCCGGACCACTGAAGAACAGGGTAAAAGGATGCAGAGAAACAGATGGACTACAGTCTGTAATTGTAGAACTACAAAGTGCACCTATATAGTAAGTGGAGCTGATAAAGTGGACAATGAGTGGAGAAGTGATCAGTGTATGTGCTCTATACTAAAGAGTTTCTAAAGTCTCAGCAATAGTATGAATTCTCTGGCAGTATCTAAGCAACAGAGGCTTACACAACCTTTGAACAATCTATGTACTGGTTTCTAAAGTGTTTGAGGTCCTTAATAGTTACCTTGAGCCAGAGATTCCTACATGTACCAGGACAGATAATACCAGTTATTGATGAAAATGGATAAATGTGCATCACAAAGCTTAAACTAGTATAGCAAAATTCTGTCCATATTTGAGGATAACCGTATGTCATACACTGTCAGAAACCACATAAGCAAGCCTATTTGAGATTACTGAACTGCTTGGCGTAGATTTAGGCAAGTCTCTGATGCTTCAGTATGCACAATGATAATTGTGTGGTTTTATACTTTAATTGTTGTCAGGATTATTATCAAGATTATGGGGAATCTGGATTATCAATTATATCCCCTCCCCCCAGGCCCCTCCAAACACACACAGTCCACTGCAACAGTAGAACTT